TACGGTTATGGCGTGAATGGATATCGTTTTCACCACGACAAGCTACTGAGCGAGTCATTGTCGACAAACCACAAAGCAATGGAGTTATTACGCCCGACAGCGATGGACTCGACTATTATGGAAGAATTGAAGAAATCTACGAACTATCATTTTATGGTTCCAAACCTCTTACTCTGTCATATTCAAATGCCACTTTGGTTTCATCACGGTGTGTGAGATGAACCCCTAAGCTTGGGCTAGTCGAGATTCGATAGGATTCCGTCTATCCGAGGAAAAGATGTCTACATTGTGGCTCAACAGGCCGTCGAGGTTTATTTATCGTCATCTGGCGTGCAAAGACGCCGAGAGCATCTTAAGGGTTGGTCTATTGTGCACAAGGTATCGCCACACGGTAACTACTACTGTCCCCAAGCGATGAAGATTATAACTTCAACCCAAACACATATGATGGAGAGTTCTATCAAGAAGAGGGGCTACAAGGGAGGTTTGACATAGACTTAACCAGAAGAGATAGGAATGGAAGTAGATAATGAAAGGGATGATGGCGAGGAGAATGATTTGGAGACGAGGTGCGAAATCTGAAGGACATACAAATGCTTGAGCGATTACATTTCAGCAATGACAATGAAGACAACATTCCTCCTTCGGATAGTGTTGATGAGTTGGACAATGTTGATAGTGATGACGAGACCTATGATCCAGCTAATTTCAATCATGAAGATTATTTCTAATACATGTAATACTATGTTTTTTGTAATTATGTTTTGTTCATTTTTGCATATATTTCTAATACATGTAATACTATGTTTTTTGTAATTATGTTTTGTTTATTTTTGCACCTATTTCTAATTACGTCTTGTTTTTCTTTTTTATTGCAGGTGATTGAGCAAAGATGGATGGCGACCGTCATAGGTCTGTGAACTCGATTTACCAAAGACCACGCCCGGTCGCGGGGAGGTGGCGGGGGCGGCGGAGGGATCGAGCAGGAGGAGGAGGACCGCTAGCCACGGAGGGGGCCGTCTCCTCCCACGCCACGTGAGGAGGACCGCCAGCCGTAGGAGGAGGTGGCGCCCGTGGACGAGTCAGACGAGGAGTTGGTTCGGCAGACGGAGGAGGAGGAGGAGGAGGAGGGAGGAGGAGGAGAGGGGAGGAGGCGAGGCACGGGTTCCGCTTCCTCCAACTCCTCTTCGAGTGTCTACTTGCGAGGTCCCGTGAGCCTCCCACAGGTTCCGCTTCCTCACCAACGCCCAGTGATTCGCCCGAAGGACAAAAGTAAGTAAATGTATATGTTATCACCACTACTTCATATGATATGATGAAAAAACTAATAATTTTTCTTAATTACTTGTGCAGAGGCGGGTGGTTGTGTCGGGTCGGGTGGTAGCGCACGGCTAGTCAGCGGCATCTGGGTCTTCTGTGCGGCAGACACTTCCCCGGCATTATCACGCACGCATCGAAGGCGGAGCCGGCCTACTCGTTGACCACTACGCCGTCGCCTCCGATGCGGAGTACCCCAACAAAGGCGGCTTGGTGAAGGCGAGTTTTGGGTAAGTCTCCTTGCACAACATTGCTCAATCAATCGTCGCATTCATTAGACTTTTCTTGAAATAATGAATCGATACATCGCTTTTGTATCTGAGACTTATTACGAGATGCGAGGAGGATTTGAGGCGAGGCGGGGCGGCGACTACCAAAGCACCGTAAAAAAACTCGTCACCGACATGCATCACGCGGTAGCGCATCCAGGCCATCGTAACCTACTACGGGTGAAGCTTGGAGAGATGAAAACCAAGAAAGATGCAAGAGAGATGCACGGTGACCGGGAGAGCGATACCTTGAGGTAAATGAAGAACATCAACATTGATTCGATTTGAGATTAAGTTGGTTTAATTTGATCTTCTTATATGTCCAATACTTGATGACGTGTAGGTGATTCCTGGTGGTGCCAAGCGTATCCCGAGTCTTGGGCGATGATGGTGGGCGGTGGTTCACGGAGAGTACCTCAAGATGCGAGGATGCCGGGACCGTCGTTCTTGATGCAAGGTCCAGCACACCATCAAGGCAGCCGCAACCTCGCCCGGATACAAACAAGCATGGATGCACGCGAATTGATTTATCTATTATTACGCTCGATTACATCGATTTCTAATCATCGTCTTTGTCTTTCGCGATCGGCGTCACATAGTGGCGGAGCTTGCTCGGACTTCGAGGCATGGTGTATGGCCCACAAGGGTAAAGGCGACGTCCGGCGTCTCCTTCAACTGGAGGACCCGCCCGAGGCATACACGAACCCGGCGTCCACTCCGCATCGGTGAGTACACCGAGGTGGCGAGGTCGCTCCATGGGGGCGGAACCACGATCCGAGCACCGGAGACTTCGATGGAGAGGCTGTCATGAGGCGGGGCAAGGCAAGAAGCATGGGCGGTTACGGCTTGGCGGCGGCGTCATCGACATAGCCTCTACTCCTCTCTCTCCCAGATCCGAGCACGAGCACGGCGAGAAACCGGCCATTCGCACACGGGCCGACCGCCACGACCACGGTCGACGGCCGACTCGAGGTTATTCTGTTTTACTCGTCATACATTGATCTTTACACACCTTAATTAGCTTTGCATTCTTGAAACATTGGGTGAAATATTGCAGGCCCATTTGGAACAAGAAATGAAGGAACATCGGGAGCTGGGGCCCGAGGTTGAGGCCGAAGCGGGCGAGCGGCGAGCCCAGCGCGAGAGGCGATGGACATTACGGATTTCCTACAAGGGCTTGGCAGCGTATGGGCTTGTCTACGCCACTGGGCTGTTGGTTCCACCTCCGCCTCGCGTCCTGCATTGCAGCTACTCTGTGAGTATCAAAGTTTTTACTTTCACTTGTGCTTTGCTTGTATGGCCTCTATCGTCCTAGATTAGCTATCAAAATAATCTTGTCTCACATGCAATCTTTTCTCCTTTGTGCAGTCTCCATCGGCGGTGGTTGAATAATCCACCTCATGCACCTACGAATGATGCATCTGGGCCTTCACCACAGTCGCAGTGGTCGAGATGAGTGCATGTTGTATTTTTTACATTTGTTGTTCACTTGGTGATGGACTTGTGATGCACTTGTGGACTTTGATGGACTTGTAAACTTATTTGGATGGACTTGAGCACTTATTATTATATATTATGATGGATGTGATATGGGCGGATGGATGTGTGGATGGATGAGATATATATGTGATGGATGAGATATATATGCGATGGATGAGATATATATGTGATGGATGAGATATATATGTGATATATGTTTGTATGAATGTATTTGTCATGATGGAATGCAAAAAGAAAAATATTTGCGTTTTGGGTCACTTTGCGAGTGTTACACTCGGCAAAGGACCCCTTGTCCAGCAAATAATGGTCACAACGCCCAAGCAAAGGCGGCAAAATGGGCGACGGAAAATAGATTTTCCGGCTTTTTAGAGTGCTCTGCCGTGTTGGCACTTTCGGCAAAGAATTTTTTTTAAAAAAAATAAAAATATTTGCCGAGTGCCTCGAGGTTTGGCACTCGGCAAAGAAAATTTTCAAAAAAAATAAAAGCTCTTTGCCGAGTGCCTCCGGTTGACGCTCGGCAAAGAATTTTTCAAAAAAAAAATTAAAAATATTTGCCGAGTGCTTGGAGGTTTGGCACTTTCGGCAAAAAAAATTTTCAAAAAATAAAAGCTCTTTGCCGAAAGTGCTGCGGGTTGGCCTTTCGGCAAAAATTTTTCAAAAAAAATAAAAAATATTTGCCGAGTGCACGGAGGTTTGGCGGTTGGCAAAGAAAATTTTCAAAAAAAAAAAATAAAAGCTCTTTGCCGCGAGTGCCTCACGGGTTGGCACTCGGCAAAGAAAGTTTTAAAAAAAATTTTAAAAAAATCTTTGCCGAGTGTCGGCAGGGTTGACACTCGGCAAAGTGACCGTCAACGGGACCGGCGCCGTGACGGTCGCTTTTCTTTGCCGAGTGTTTCCGGGGCACTCAGCAAAGCCTTTGCCAAGTGCCCGATAAAATACACTCGACAAAAAGTGCTTTGCCGATCAATTTTTTGCCGTGTGTGCTTTGCCGAGTGCCGCACTCGGCAAAGGCTTTGCCGAGTGCAATATAGCCTTTGCCGAGTGCCTCAGGCACTCGGCAAAGAACCTGAATCCAGTAGTGGAACAGCTAGTGAGTCTGCAAGCCACACGTCCTGGAAATGTACAAACCTCACGGCCCACACGCTACTATATCCAAGTGAGCCGAGCCTAACAGATTATTGGTTGCTGCTGCTGCAGTGCTGCCAACCAGGTGTGATGGTGCTGCGCGGGGAATTTTCTTTTTAAATAATATTATTTTAATAATAACTAATAGCAAAACTAAGTGCTGTTATGGAAAAGTTGCAAGTATAGATGCTTTTTGGCTATATTGATGAATGGTCCACAGGGCACTAATCGGCATTTCGATTGATGATATTGTTATAAAACATACGGACTATATTGTAGAAGAAAAGAAGGAGCTAACCAGGATCGAGACTTTATTAACAACTTCAATTTATAGGTGAACAAGGGAGGAATCCTAATTTGTTAACCACTTCAATTTATAGGTGGCGCTTGGTGCTGTAGTAACAGAAGCATGCCTCCGGTGTTTTCTCCTAAATATAAATTAGTGAGCCAATGCGCACTAGTTTGGTTAAAAACTTAAAATATACGTGTGCACTATTTATATGATAACTTATTTTACATGTGTACGGAAACAGGTAAATGATAAATCAGATTACTAGCTACTTATCTGGCACAATCTCATAGTTTTTCAAAGTTCTGAATAATGTTTATTCTAACGCGAAAGAACAGCTATATCTTCACGTACGGATAAATACTCCTATTATACACCAAATAAAGCCAGTGAAACGCTGGTTCTATATATATAAAGTTACTATAGGCGACCTGCTGGTGAGTGATACATTATAGATGGATAACCACTGGCACTAAATCAATCATACTCAATAAGCACATCTAGCGTGGTAGGGTGGCAGATTCCATGAACTCTTCCTCTAAACTATAACATCGCTGGTTGTGTTCCAGTGGTAAATTGGCTCCCTGACCTGGTTCTGTGGCAAATGCTTGGCAAGTAGCTTTAGCTCTTCGAGTTAGCAATATTGTTTCATTTTGCTGCTCATTTTTCGGGCTGCTTTGCCAAGTGCTCACCTGTTTCTCTCGTAAAATCTGTAATTCCATCTCCACTTGCTTCATTGTAGGCCTTTCTTCACCACGTAATCTTAAGCACATCTCTGCAATGGAGGCGATGCTGCTGATCTCCTCCTTGGTTGCTTCCTGGGCAACTTGAGGATCAACTATATCAGTGATTTCTCTCTCTTTCAATGCCTCAAGAAAGTAGTTTGACAAGTTCTGAACCAAGCCTGAGTTACTTGTGAAAATAGGCTTCTTTCTAACAAGCAGCTCTAGAAGTACTACCCCAAAACTATACACATCACTCTTCGCATTTAGTTGCCTCGTATAGAAATACTCTGGATCTAAGTAACCAAATGTACCTTGTACATTCGTAACAATGTGTGTTTGATCAACTGGAACCAATCTTGAAGCGCCAAAGTCTGAAACTTTTGCTGTGTAGTTCCCATCCAAGAGTATATTAGAGGACTTCACATCACGATGGAAGACTGATATTGAAGCTGCTGAGTGGAGATATGATAAAGCTCCTGCAGCTTCCGTGGCGATTCTTATGTAATCATTCCAAGACAAAGAAACATCATTTCGTGATTCATCATGGAGAACTTGAGTCAATGATCCATTGGAAATATAATCATATACTAGCAATGGAACCTCAGATTCGAGACAACATCCAAAGAGCTTCACGATGTTTCTGTGATTTATTTCAGAAAGTATTGCAACTTCATTGATGAATTGCTTGATCTCGCTGTACTCAATGACTAGAGACTTCTTTATTGCAACAACACGTTGGTCAGATAAAATGCCTTTATAGACCATCCCGTGGCCACCATGTCCAATGATACGTGTGGGATCAAAGTTATTTGTTGCCTTTTCTAGCTCTTCAAGAGAGAAAATATTTGTTTTGTCAGGCGACGTCAACTGTTCTAAAAGAAGACCTTGGTTCTTCTGGAAATAAGTCCTCCGTAGTTGCTTTTGAACATTTCTTCTCCATCTACGGAGAAGAAATAATGCAAGGAAGGCCAGGAGTAGGATGCCGAAGCCTCCCGAAAGTCCGATAATAATACCTATATAGACCTTGGTTTCTTTTGCATTATACCCTAGTTTCAGTAAGAAACATGTTAACCATGCATTCAAGTTCCAAATGAAAAAGGTAACTGTGCATAAATCGACTTGTCATTTTGTATGCTACACTTTTCATGGTAATAAACAAATAAATAAGTAAAACATTTGTTTCACTCAATCAGTTGCCAAAATATAAAGTGACATTACAATTGTATATATCTAAGAAATACCAACAATATGAGTAAAATACACATTTCTACACTTAAAATTACTGATTAAGTGAACTTTAAAATTTTGCGTACTAATCCATCGACTCCTGCAGGCTAATCCTAAGAGACATATGCATTAGTTATTGTTTAATATCTCTGACTAATAAAAAATACTTAGATTAAACTATACTTTTTTCTCTTTATTCATTTTCTAACACAATAAAGCGTAATAGATACTCTGCAGTATCTATCCAGTTGTGAGAAACATATTAATCGCTGGTCTATATTTTTTTTTCATCCATATACTTAGTTTTTTTTCCTTCACATGACAATTATGTATATTTTCAATATGAATTTAGTTAAAACATTAACTTCAACTATGGTAGATATATATTTTAGGTTGTTATAGATCTTAAAGTTTAAGTGATCCCATATCTTATGACATCATAAATTTAAATTTTCATTTTAAAATTTAATCTTATTAATTGCTATAGATTTTGTCCTCTATAAGCATAATAGATACTTCATAGCATATATATCCAATTGTAAAAGTTATCAATCAATTGTCTACATATTATCCTCAAGTTAAATTATAAATCTTGTGCTTATTAACTCTAGTTTTGTACTTTTTAGAAATAGGAATTTTGGGCCATAGACAACACTCTTAAGTTCATGACACAACAACCATTTAAAACCCGCACTACATTACTTAATAAGATCGGTGGTAGAGCTTGATGTAATCCAAGATGGTGTGGCGGTGCTAACCTCAAGATGATATTAATATTTAAACCTTATAATGACTGTTTACTCTAAAGAAGTCTCAAAGGCCAGGAAGATATAGCTACCTTTGGTCTACACTAACCTCTTTCACTTCTCAAAATGTTTGAGTTTTCTTATAAAGAATTATATCTGCAGTAATGATTACACTATCAACATAGATATGTAAAACGTTTTAGTTTAAATTTATAAATACATCTAAAGTAAGACTTATATATAAATTTATGTCATGATTGCTCATATGTTTTCAATAATTTGTTAGTATCATTAGTATATGAGTTGTTAATGAAATATTTTTATGATTGTTGAAACATAGCATATATTTATTACTTATGCAAGCATATGTAGTTGATTTGCCAACGGACGCTAGGCCAGTTGGTCAAGCGCTTCCTGCGGCACCCTCAGGTCCTGAGTTCGACTCCCCATGGGAGCAAATTTCAGGCTGAGGTTAAAAAAATCCCCTCGTCCGTCCCCATAACCAAAGCACTGGGGGGCACCGGCCCAACTCTCACTTGGGCGACGGAAAGCCACCGTGTAAGGGTGGGGGCGGGGGTTCGGGGGTTTTTTCGGCCGGGTGAGAAGGTCCTTCTTCTTATTTGAAATGCTGCGGGGGCAGTCTTAACCCCCCTGGTCGAGTTTTTTTTATATGTAGTTGATTTGAATCATTTCACAATATGTATTTTCATTTAATCAAATGCTAATATATTAATATTGATGAAAGTGGGTAATGTGGAAACATTATATGCTTTATGATTATTTAAACATCTTTTTTGTAATAGAAAATGTTGGCAATTAGATGTAGATTTGAGAGGATATTGTAGTAATGATAGAAGTGGTAATTTAGATGCAAATTTAAGGATTTACATATAGATTATATATTATAATAGCATGCGAGTAATTAGATACAAATTCAGGTTTACTTTAGATCATATTTCTTGGTGGCTTGGGTCTGTAATTTAAATATAGATAGGTTACTTTAGGTTGTTTTACACAATAGCAGAGATGGATCATTGGAGTCTACTGAATTGATAGCCAAATGTTTATGGTTTTTGTGAGAAATTTTGTCATTTATCTTTTTTCTCATAGCGAGTATCATGAGATAATAGGAAGGCTGCATTGGGGACCTCTAGTTAGGATTTCTATGATTTATATTCTTTAATATAGCGTGATACGTATTTAGTTGAAACTAGGACTTAGTTATATATATAAGTCCTTGTTGTATCCTTTTCTGTTACATCATGAATCTATATTTTTAGCTTTCAAATTTTAATCTACTTATTGCAATTTTTAATCGACAAGCTAAGTTAAAACCTCTGTGTTAATTATATCTTTTATTCAAACATTTTATCTTCAGTTTTATTTTAAAAAATTCTAGGTCTAGGCTTCCCTTTGAGTTCTTAAAATGACATAAATAGTCTTTTTAGTTTGCACCGTGGCACTCAAGATGCTTTTTCGATAGCCATGGCATGAATGAAATGTATATTTGACTGTTATCCCGTGCTTTGGTTCTCTCTCTCTTCTTATCTCTCATCGGGCCCCAATTCTTCTTCTATCTTCTTTGAATTCAGACCGTCACCCAACATACCAGTAACATAGAGTGCTTATTAAATTATATCTCATGAGAAATATAAGTTAGAAGTAAGCATAATGCTATGCACCATGATCCATATCAAAGAATTATATGTAGTAGTGTTATTTTATAAAACATAGAGCGCTTAAAATGAAATAGTTGCCATATTGATATGACATAATATTTCAGTCCAAATGTATAAACTTGTTTAAAATAATAACTTACAAAATTCATTATCATGGAGTATCAATATAACTTAAAGTGAATTGGCAGTGTCATTGCTATGTAGTTTGTTAAGAGAACATTTTTCCACACTTGATAAGCAATTACAATAAATATTTATCCTAAGATATACATGCTTATTTGTCCTACATTGTGCATAGAGTTATGCTTACTTCTAACTTAATAGTGATAAAAATGTGTAATTTAGAAATATACATAGTAGAATTTATGAATATTGAATTATTTTTCATAATAGCTTACAATAGTATTTATATATAGATTTGAAAGATCTAACACAGTTAAGGTGGATAATTTAGATACAAATTAAAAGATATTACTTTCTATATTATCTTTTATAATAGCATATGCGGATAACTTAAATGCAAACTTAGGGGTTATTTTTGCATTATCTTTCATATCAGCGGGAGTGTGTAATTTATAAAAAAACTATTAGAAGGTTACTTTAAATTATTTTTCATAATGATAGAGGTGGTTAATTTAGATACAAATTTATGGACTTATTTGAAATATCTTACATAATGGCATAGGTGGACAATTTAGATTCAAATTAGGGGGGTTATTGTGAGTTATCTTTTATAATGACAATGGTGGGTAATTTGAATAAAAATTTAGGGGTTACTTTATAGATTTTTTTCATAATGGTAGTGGTGGGAATCTTTTATAAAACAGAATAGATCCAATGGTTATTATTGATAATGGTGATTAGAATATACAAATAAAATGTCTAATGTTTCTTATTACTGTGATAATTTCTAAGATTTTTTTTCCCAGTGCATCTGGTGAGAATGAACATGGAGGCCTATATATTTGCGAAGCATGGCTGAGGCTACAACAATTATGTTAGAAGCAGCAGGGAGAGTAGATATGAAATGGTACCAATATGATTTCAAAAAAAAAATGGTACCAATAATGTCGTCGGTGCAACCGTCAATAATGTAGGCGTTGCCTGTGAAGCCTTGTTCGCATTCGCAGGTGTAGCCAAATGTTGCGACGTCGTTGCAATGAGTGGTTGCTGATATACAAGCATACTCTGTCCGGTTCTTCTCGGCGGAAGCACAGTTGGGTTGGTCGACGATGTTCCAAAAGAGCAGGGTGGAATTACTGGTAACAACGGTGATTCTATCCCGCAATAGAGAGGTCCGGTTAGAAGATCTGGAGGCGCCGATGCTGCTGCTTTTCCGGTGGACGAAACTGAGCTGAATAGATATCTGGAAAACGTCTTGCACCAAAACAGAGCAGCATCCCATGCCACTGCAGTTGTAGCTAGCCGCCACCTCCGTGATTATTTCTTCGCTGCCGGGGCACCAAGTTGAGCAACCAAACACAGGTCTGCTGGTCATCTGATCGATCCAGTACACATCCAGGTCGCAGCCTGTCACACTGAATGTTGCAGAGCGGTCAAATGAGAAGGACCTCCCAGGGGTTTCCAGGGACATGTTGTAAACGCGTACACCGGAGTTCATGGGGATGGCACGCCTGATGGAGACCAAGAAGAAGTCGTTGATGTTAACTTCGATGCTGTCGACCACCTCGGTGATGCCATCTCGCAAGAAGAGCTTCGGGGACCGACAGGCGTCGTCGTCGCAGATCAAGCTGAAATCGGGCCCCCGGGAGCAATCCGCTCCGACGCCGAATGGGTAGGCGAAGATCAGATTGCCGCAGCTCGTCGGGCAGCCGTCCAACGACGTCCTGTTTCCTCCGGCCATGATGCTTCCGGAGGCTGCTAGCACGGTGGTCGACGACGTCTCTACTGGAGACCAAACAATCACCAGAGAGAATAATAGTGCCGCACAAAGCATCATTGGCAAGGTTATCATGATAGTCTAAGCTCTCACCCTCGCCAAACTTGATCTCGCTCAGTTTTTTTGTGTGTGTGTGTGTGTGTGTGTGTGTGAACCTAGCAGTAGTGCAAGTGCATGGCGGAATGAGACCATGGCAAAAATGAAGTCCACATAATGCTTGCCCGTCCGTCACTCCGAGCTTTGCCACCAGCTGCAATTTTGGACGTCCTTGCAAGCTGCATATGCCCTGGTCAAGGTCAAAACTTATTCACACGTATATATGTGGAAACAAAAAAATAAACGGCTAGGAGACCCTGCCGACATGCCGGCTAGGAGTCTTCCTTACTGCCGACTTGCCTAAAAAAACACTGAATTTCTTTTTTTAATAACACTACTAAAAAGAATTTTAAAGACATCCTGTGGCTATATACAGACACCGTCTGTATAAAAAATAAACCTTGGAAGACCCAAAGATTCATGCTGCGCACCAGACTAGAGTCACGAGGTGCATAGCAAAGAGAAAACCATGGGATTAGCAGATCTAGATTACTGTGCCCTCAAACATGACAGGAATGTAGAGATGAGATATCTTGTAATATAGAGTGACCATTTGGCTCCCCAATTAATATGATGTTTGTAACTGTCATAAAAATGGAGGAATACAACACTAGCCTTAAAAAAAAACTCGACCCGTGGAGGATAAGATAGCCCCGGGCATTGTGCTTAAGAAGATCTTTGTACTTCAAGTTATCATAGCTTTTTCCTGACGAGGGTTTGAGTAGGAACGGATATTCTCGATAGTTGGCATTGTCCGCGGTTCGTACTTTTCTATCAACAACGATGGCAAGGAAAACAACATCATGGACACCTCCGGGTGACCCACAACACTCAAAATAACACCTAGAGGGATCCTTCAGTGACGGGTACAGTTAGTTCTGTTTCCTTTTGGATTATACCCTAGTTTCAGTAAGAAACATGTTAACCATGCATTCAAGTTCCAAATGAAAAAGGTAACCGTGCATAAATCGACTTGTCATTTTGTATGCTACATTTTTCATGGTAATAAACAAATAAATAAGTAAACATTTGTTTCACTCGATCAGTTGCCAAAATATAAAGTTATATTACAATTGTATACAGTGTGAATCTAGCCCGAGAATTCACTTAGGGCGGGCTTTAAAATTTCCGCTACCAACGACAACTTATGTTTTGAGCAAAAATTGTAGAACAACCAACAAGAATCGAGATGTTACCTTTTAATAATAGAAGTATCAATCAACATGTTCGTTTGTTGGTTTCAGCCTGTCCTCTCACAACAAACCAGCACCAGCCGGACTTATCAGCTCAGAAACCAACCAACGAATAGGCTGAATAATAGATGTTTCAATCAATAGACAAATGGAGTATAGAACCTGCCATTTTTATAGACAAGTCAATTAAAAAATGACATTAATCATAAAAACATTGAAGAATGTAAAAAGATAACTAGACATACATCCTCTTATCCTCAACAGATTTTGAGATAACCAATCATTTTGAGATAACCACTTCTTTACAAACATCCTCTTATCCTTAATAGATTTGTGAGGAAATTTGTGACCAAAAGGTTTGGTTAGACCTTCCACCAAATAAGGGGGTGTTTGATGTAGGGACTAAAATTTAACAGTTGTCACATCAGATGTCACATGAGGTGTCGCATGGGGTATTTAAATACTAATAAAAAATAAATTACAGAAGTCCTCAGTAATCCACGAGACGAATTTATTAAGCCTAATTAATCCGTCATTAATTACCACATGTTTATTGTAGCATAACATTGTCAAATCATGGACTAATTAAGCTTAATAAATTCGTCTCGTAAATTAGTCTCAATCTGTGTATTTAGTTTCGTAAATAGTCTATATTTAATACTCAATGCATATCTCAAACATCCGATGAACCCTCATAACATCCAGGACTTATAAGCAAGGTTTTAAATAGCCGGCTAAGTCATTTAGCTTTCACTGTCTGAAAACAGGCTATAGCCAGCTATAACGAGCTATAACGGCAGCTAAGGGCTAACTTGTACATGAAAAAACTTAGTTAAATCTTTCTCAAACAGCTATAGCTGGAGATAACGGAGGCTATAGCCGGAGATTTAAAACCTTGCTTATAAGTCATGATACAGTATTTTTCTCTCACAACAAACCAGCACCAGCTGGACTTATCAATGATCATCTCGGATGTCAGGATGGAATTGCTAAATTGCTACACGAACGTCCGGATCAGAAACAACATGAACATCCGGATTAAATACCGTAATAGTAATACCTTCGACATCAGTGCTTTCCGAAAGCAGTAAAGCACTGAAGGCTGAACTCTGAAGCAGCCAAACAGGCTCAGCCAAGCAGGGCCGGCTGGGGTTCGTTACCTGCTTCTTGCTACCTGGCGGAGTGGCGGCGCCGAGGCCGAGCGGCAGCGGCCGGCCGGTTGGGGCGGGATCGCGTCGCCGGATGCCCGGATATGCCGGCGGCTGGAGGCAGTGAGGCGGCAAGCGGCGACAGCGAGCGTGGAGGGCGGAGAGGAGGCCAGAGGCGACTAGTGCGGAGCAGCGAGCGGCGTCGGGCGAGCGAGACCGCGACTCACCCTTGCGATTTTGCAAAAACTTTTGATCTCGTTCTGTAGCTTAATATAATTCGTTTGGACAGTGTTGGATGCCTGGGCTAAAGTTCAGTAATTGTCACATTGATATTTCAGTACTAATAAAAAAATTATAAAAGTCATGCTCGAGACGAATTTGTTGCGAAGCCAGCAGTGCAACTGCAAAGGCCATTGAATCATTGAACAGTGGCTGTGTGTGTGATCAGTTCGACGTGAATGTGAAAGGGAGGTTCTGAACTTTTGACGCTTGTTTAGTTTCACCCTAACTTATAAAAAGTTGCTACAGTACCTATCACATTGAATGTTTGCGGCCCGTGCATAGAGTATTAAATGTAGACGAAAAGAAAAACTAATTGCACAGTTTGATGGAAAATTACGAGACGAACGTTTTAAGCCTAATTAGTCCATGTTTGAATACTATTTGCCAAATAAAAACGAAGGTACTGCAGTAACCCTAAAATCCAAGCCGTGTCATCCTGTCCGTCAGTCTTTGCCTGAAAGCAGGACAGTGGCGGGCGAGCGCTTGTCAAGTCGTCGCGTGCGGCCTCTTGTCTTGTCCATCGCAGTGCGTGGTCCCGAGCGCAGCCCGCGCCGTGCCGCAAGGTTGGACGCCTACCAACGAGGACGGCTTGGGTTCTCCGGCGTGAAGTCTGGGCCAATCTAGGTTGGGAACAGTGTTCTAGATAGCGGCTCAAATCGAGGTATATCGGTTAAATCATACTACATACAGTATGAGTAAATAATTATATTTCGCGGGAGATATACAACCTTGATTGGCAGAAAGGATTTGGTGAGATAAAAAAAAACTTGGCTTTCTAATTTTTTGAGGTGCAACTTTGAGTTGGGAAAGAGTAAAAAAAAAACTAGCTTGTGTTTTTGAGAAAAAAAAACCCATTAAGGTCGCTCTTCCGTAAATGTGCTGTTATATGTATAAAGGTTTTGTGTTTTTTTCATATGCCCTCTCGGTTCCAAATTATAAATCGTCTTGCCTTAATTTTTGCTATACACTTCAATATACGTTATGTGTTTTACAAGTCAAATTAGCTTTGTCCTAAGTCAAATATTACTAACTTTGACCATTTATTTCAAAAAAATCCTTATTATTTCACAACATATGAATTATAAATTATGAAAATATTTTTTATTATTTCACAACATATGAATTATATATTAGAAAGTATTTTTCATAGTGAAACTAAAAATATAAATCTATGTCATAAACATATATTATTTTTTAAAAGGATCGATAGTCAAAAGTATAAATATTTGATTAAGGATAAAACTAATACAATAAGTAAAATAAAACAGAGGAAGTATTTTAAGGACAAAACCACTTAGCTCTGATACCACTTTATAACACCCGGTTTTAAGAACAAAACCAGATACACACCATATATAAGCCTATGAAGTCAAATCTCACATATAGCTACAAATAAAGGTAATATCAATAGACAATGTTTAATATATAACATACTTAGTATAAATGACATAACCTTAGATAGCAAATAGCGGAAAGACAACTCCAATTTTTGGGTGAAGACTTCAATTCCACAAGGATAACTGACTGGTTGATCACAAGCTTAATTCATCAAACTCTAGCAATCTGGTACCTATCCGGGATTTTTATCCAAATACTTGAAAAGTAAAGCAAGCGTAAGTACATGTCGTACTCAACAAATATAACATGGAGTTCATGAGGCTCAAAAGGCTGACACTGGTTAACTGCGATTAGTTTTTAATGAGTCATGATTTTAGCAATTGAGTAGCAACAAGTTTATCGCAAACACATATAAACACATGATTAGGTAAATATGAATAATGAATAGCATAAACAATAATCATTAGTGAGCATCTTCATCATCAGTATCATCTGTGTTCATCATCTATTCCGTAAATGTTCTAAGGCCGCTCGTGACCGTGAGCACGGCTGATATACCAGTTTTACACTCTGCAGAGGTTGTATACTTTCACTGTGAGTCGTGATTTACCCTTTCACCCGAGGTGATCAGCCTCTTGACCCACTACTGAGGAAGGTCGGTAGGGTTCACTATGAAACCTTTTAAAGGTTCGTCTAACAAGTTAGGGCCATTAGATTCACTCGTCAAACAGATGTAGAGCCCCCCTTCCCGATGGCACAATGACGCACAATCTATACAAAGGGGACAGAGGCCGCACTATACCCGATTTGGCAAGCCATTCTTACGCCAATAAAGGTAATCATTAACAAGCTAGAAAAAGTCCTCATACTGAGCTAAAACCAGAGCCATGTAGTCCTCACAGCTGTA